TTGCGGAGCACAGGCTCCGGACGCGCAGGCTCAGCGGCCATGGCTCACGGGCCCAGCCGCTCTGCAGCATGTGGGATCTTACCGGACCGGGGCACGAACCTGTGTCCCGTGCATTGGCAGGTGGATTCTTAACCACTGTGCCACCAGGGAAGTCCCTATTGGCCATTTTTATTTCTTCATTTGTGAATTATCTCAGTACTTTGCTCATTTATCTATTATCCACAATACGACTAGTTATTTTATTACAAAAGTAACTAAAAAGTAATGAAGACATTGTAAAATAGATTAGAACATTTGAATATTTATAGTGTTTTATAACATGCTGTTTAAATAACTCAATCCAATACATTGAGAATATCTTTCTATGTCAACCAGTGTATATCTAAGCCATCATTTTTTTTTTACTTTTTTTTTTTTTTGCGGTTCGCGGGCCTCTCACTTTTGTGGCCTCTCCCGTTGCGGAGCACAGGCTCCGGACGCGCAGGCTCAGCGGCCATGGCTCATGGGCCCAGCCGCTCTGCGGCATGTGGGATCCTCCCGGGCCGGGGCACGAACCCACATCCCCTGCATCGGCAGGCGGACTCTCAACCACTGCGCCACCAGGGAAGCCCTCTACTTCATAATTCTAAGGGCCATTGAGGTTTACCCCCATCGGTCAGTGTCCTGCCATCCTGTCTTGCTTGGGGGAAGGCCACTGCCATCTCATCTCTCTGCTGCTTGAAACCCTTTAACAGCTCGCAGCATTCACAGTCCTGAGTGCCCTGGTCTTCTCTATCCCTGTCTCCCCTTAGTCCTCCACCTTCCTTTGCTGGAAACAGTCTGTGCCTTTGCTCCTCCGAGCCTCTGCCCTGGAATGCCAGGAGTAGGATGGTCCCAGGCAGAGGTTTCAGAATGACCTTGAACTCTTCAGAGGAGTTCTAGACCCCACCCGGCCTCCATGCCTCTCCTGCTCAGTCCTGAGCTGGGGGGAAGATGGAGCTTTAGGGGGAGTGCACCCGGAATTGGGTCCTGGGGTCCTGGTGAGGGAAGGCACAGGCCCTGCCCTCAAGCCCTTGCATCCTGGTAGGGGAGGCAGATGTGGGGCTGGATGGTGACCATACTTGCAAGGGTCCTAGGTGGGAGGGGAACCAACCCATTTTGGGGGAGGTGTCAGGGAAAGCATGGAGTGGGCCTTGGACGATGAGTAGATGCCCCCCCCACCCCAGGTAGAGAAGTCTCCGAAGAATGGAAGAGGGAACAGCATTTGCAAAGGCCTAGGGGTGTGCGAAGACTTGGGGTGTTGTAGGGTTAGTTGCAGTAATGTGAGCTCCAGGAAGGCAGAGAAACACGTGTCAGTTTTGGTCACAGCTGCATCTCTAGCAACTAGAACAGTGCCTATGATACATTCTTGTTGGATGAATGAATAAGATAAAAGGCGGAGAGGTTCTTGAAGCAAGATTAAATTACCCCATCAGTGCCGGTTCCTGGGGGCAAGGCCCTAGATCTTTATCCCGTAGGTTCTAGGAGGTCGTTGAAGGATTTTGAGCAGGGGTGGGTGATGACGGTAATGATGGTAAGGATGATGTGGACCTGAGACCCAGTTTTTCTCATACCTTATCCTTGCCTCCCTCACTCCAAGCTCACCACTGCCCCCTCCCCGCCTCCCCTCCCCCAATCCCCAGGCATTTCCAGCTGTCTCCATGGCCCAATTTTAGCTTCTCATTGTCTGGAAAAGCAAGTGGAGAGTCTGGGATGGGCTTTCCCAGCTAGGGTTCTGGTCGGGAGGTCTGTGGGTGTGGGCTGGTGGAGTGGGCTTGAAATGGCTAATTCAGGCTCAGGAAACACTTTTATGTTGATATTATTTAGCTTTGGGAGGAAGAGGCCTTGGGGAAAAAACAAAAGCAAAACCCGCATTCCCAGTGTCACTGGCCACAAGCCAGCCCAAACAAGAGGAAGGAGCACAGGACCACACCCAGGAGGCCCTTGTCCTGTTGATGTGCTGGTGCCATTTGGTAGGATGGTGCCCATGCCAGAACTACTGGACCTACACCTGATTAAAGTCCCAGAAGTCAGATTGGCAGTTTTCTCAGGTTGGGCAAAGTGAATGGGCTCAAAAGGGCTAGGTAGAGATGAACACGTGCTTGGGGTTGGGCCTCTAACACAGAGGCCAACACATGGCCTGCAATTTTATACAGCTC